TGCGTAACCAGCCATCTTTAAACCAGTGTGTGGTTTTTCACACTAGAGGACCACACCTTTTAAAGCACTACTCTAAAGAAGGGCATGTTAGGAGAGGAGGGAAAAGAGGAAGTAGAGATTAGAGGTCCCCGCATAACTAGCCATCTTTAAATCGTCACCATTTTCTTGGTGTTCTTTCTCATTCTTTGCCTTCATTCTGGGAGTTGCTTGCATTGATAAACTTCGGTTTTTCAAGCCTTCTACCCTGTTTGGCATTAGACCTCCAAAAGCTAACAAAAAGTTTTGCAAACAAGCAGCCATCTCCTTCCAACCTTTTGCATTCCACCCCTCAAGGATACATACCAGTTGCTTTGAGCCTTGTCCCAAGTAATCCATCAATGTTAAGCCTCCTTTTACCATTTCTTTTTCTTCTAGCCAAGTATCTTCTTCCCTCTGTTTCGGTTGAGTTCCTACAATGTTTGCTTCTTTTTGAGTTTATCGCTTCATCTAGAAAAATTCCGAATCACTCAAGGCTTCCCCTACCAATAATACCATTGCCATCCACAGCTCCCTGACCTTCAATGTTGGGTTTCCTCTTATCAGCATCTCTTCAACTACAAAGGTCATTGCCTCAATTTTCAATGTTCTTCTCCAAATCGCTGCTTGAACAAATTTTTCTCCTCAATTTTCACGAGATGATTGTTCAGCTAGCAGCCATTTGGCTGGAACTTGCAATTGATGAATGAGTGATAATGGCAGAAATATGGAAATATCCAAATCAAACTCTTCCCTAGAATATATCATTGTACAAATACAAAATGTTCAGCATTTTATCCAAAATTTTTAAACAAAAACGCATATTTAATGGGTCAATGAGACTAGACATAACCATTGGAGAGATGGCGGTAGGGACAGGGATTGGAAGGGAAGTTAATGGGAAGGAAGGAGCTAAAGGGAAGAGGGTGGACACCACTTCGGCGTGGGTAAATTCCAAATTATTGGGACTGAGAAAATTATTGGGGGTTTCCATTCTAGGCCTAGAGGAAGAAACGATAAAATATTTAGAAAACATAGAAAGAAGGTGGTTAGAGGAGAAAGGAAAAATTAAATGCAAAAAATAGGTGGTAATTTGGTGAAGAAAAGCAGAGAAGTGATGAGGTTGTCTTGGGATTTGAATGATAAGGCAGGGAAGGGGGGAGGATCATCGAGGGGCGGATGGGGAAGGAGGTGTACAATTAGAGCGAGTATACTAGCTAGAGGAAGTGCAAGGGGCATCTTAATCCTTTGAAACAAACTAATGTGTAAGCTTATTTCTTCTCACAAAGGTGATTTCTCATTGTCGGTAATTTTGGAACTAGAGGGAGGTTTCCAAAGGAAGCTCACCAGCGTTTATGGTCCAACTGTAAATGTGGAGAGAGAGAGAGAGAAGCTCTGGAAAGACCTAGCTAAAGCTAGAGGTGTATTCCATCCCTTGGGTTAAAGGTGGGGACTTTAATGTAGTTAGATTCCTGGAAGAAAGGAAGGGAGGTGTTTGGAGAACAAGGGAAATGAGAGGATTTGCGAATTTTGTGAATCGTTTTGATTTAATTGATCTCCCACTACTAGGGGCTCAATTCACCTGGACAAATAATCAAGATCCCCAGTGTTGTTTTAAGTTAGATAGGATGTGTGATTTGAAGAGGAAGAGATGGTCCCTCTACTTAAATTCAAAATGGTCTGATTTCCAAGTAAGTACAAGCTCTTCCATCTTTGCAAAAAAGATCAAATTAATTAAGGAAACCTTGAAAGCATGGAGGTTGGGATTCCAAGGGTCCTCAAAATCAGAAAAAAAGAAAATAAGTGTTTAGAAATTATGAAGTGGACTTGGTTGAGGAATCTGGCCCAATAGCAGAAGAAAGAAAAAGAAGACAGGCAACAAAATTGACTCTAGACAATCTTGCTTTTAAGGATGAACTGAAATGGAGACAAAGAACCAAGGTCAAAAAATGGGGGATAAAAACTCTAGCTTTTCCCACAAGATGGCAAGTGCAAGAAAAAGATTTAATCAGCTTGAGAGACTAGAATTTGAGGGTCAGGTGGGAGAGAATGGGGTTGAAATGAAAAGTATTGCCACCAATAATTTCTCAGACTTGTTCAAGGAAAGTTGCGCTAGAAGACCTCTCCCGGTTGACCTAAACTTTAGGACGATTTCAGGTATTTAGCAAAGGGATCTAGAAGCCCCCTTCACAAAGGAAGAAATAAGGCAAGTGGTAAAGAATTTAGAAGTTGATAAATCCCTAGGGATGGATGACCTCACTAGCCTTTTCTACAAGAAGTGTTGGGAGGTGGTGAAAGTGGATATGTTGAAACGTGAATTCTACTTTCATTTCCTTAATTCCTAAGGTGGAAGGTGCAACAAACATCAAGGACTTTAGACCTATCGGTTTGTTGAACAACTTCTATAAAATCATGGCAAAGGTTCTAATCAAGGTTTTTAAAACCGACCCAAAGAACGAACCAGTCATGGGTCTGATTCCCGGGTTGAACGGTCCGACCGTTCGAACCGAACGGTTGGCCCATTCTGATAGAAAAAATAAAAAACGGTCAAAACCGTTCTAATGGTTAAGCGCCTGGGTCAGTGGTTTGCTGACCAAAATCAACGATTTTTGAAGAAAATCCGATTTTGGGGAAAACCCCGGTTTTTCTGGTCCGACCGAATGGTCCGGTCGAGTTTTGAAAGCCATTGTTCTAATAGAGAGGTTAAAAAAAGCCATTAGTACTATGAAAGAAAAAAACCTGTGTGTCAGGTAGACAAATGCTAGATAGTGTCTTGGTGGCAAACAAGCTGATAGACGCAAGGAAAAGGGAGGGTAAACCAGGGCTGCTATGTAAACTGGACTTGGAGAAGGCCTATGACCATGTCAACTTGAAGTGCCTGGATTTTGTTCTAGAAAGGATGAATTTCAGCCAAAAATGGATGAACTGGATCAAGGTATGTGTTACTTCTCCAAAATTTGCAATGCTGGTGAATGGAGAATCGGCTGACTTCTTCAAGAGATCCAGAGGTTTACAACATGGGGATCCCCTATCCCCCCTTCTCTTCATTTGTATAATGGAGATTTTATCTATTTTTGTCAACTGAGTAGGGGAAGAGGGATTGTGGAAAGGGTTTGAGACAATTCCAAGAGAGAAGGTTCAAATTCTTTAGTTTGCAAATGATACCTTGTGCTTCATTGATGCTGATGTGGATCAATTGGGGGTTGTTTTAAGGGTACTGAGTTGGTTTGAAGTTGTGTCGGGGCTGAGAGTAAATTGGGCAAAGAGCAGAGTAATTCGAATTGGAAGGATAGAGAATTTAGAGGCACTAGCAGAAGTACTTGCTTATCAGACTAGCTTTCTGCCTACTATGTACCTAGGCTCTCCTTTGGGAACTAAGTGCACTTCCTCTTTACTGTGGAACCCAGTGGTGGAACGGTTAGAAAGGAAATTGGCATCATGAAAAGCCAAATATCTGTCTTTTGGGGGGTAGAATTACCCTTCTAAAGAGTTCCGATTCTAATTTACCCTCCTACTTCCTCTCTTTATTCCCAATCCCAACAAAAAGTGGCCCAAAGATTAGAAAAGCTTCAGAGGGACTTTCTATGGAAGAGTTGGGAGGAGGAAAAGAAAATCCACCTGGTCAATTGGGATCAAGCGTGTACTCCAAAAGAAAAGGGAGGATCGGAGGTGAGGAAACTGAAAAGTTTTAACGTCTTTATTGAGGAAATGGATGTGGAAATTTGGAAAAGAAAGAAACGGTGGAGGAAATTATTAGCAGCCAAGTATGAAACTGATAGAGGTGACTGGGTAACCACCACAAACATCTCTTCTCTGGAGTGTTCTTAATGGAAGAAAATAATGGAAATTTTTCCTCTTCTAAATAGTGGTATACTCCTAAACTGGGTTCTGGTCATTGACTGAAATTCTGGAAAGACAGACGGTGCAACAGGTCTTTAGAAGAGCTCCCCAGCTATACCAACTTGCCTTATCAGGATGCAATGGTGGCTGAATGCTGTAAACTGAGAGAACATTATTTCCTGGATTCCTTTCAGAAGAGCTTTTCAAGATTGGGAAGTGGATCATGTGGTGGAGCTCTTTGAAATGCTATCCAATCGAGCTTTGAACTTGTTGTAAGAAGACACTTGGACCTGGAAGTGGTCTGCATATGTAGTTTTTTCAGTGGACTCCTTTACTAGAGTTTTATCAGGTGGGGATAGAGCGGCTATCCCTGCTGATAAAATAAGGAGCCAGATTCCCCCATCTAAAGTAAAATAAGGAGCCAGAAACTTATCTAAACAGAATCTGGTCAAAAGAGGAATTCAGATTCAAAACCTGTTGTGTGAGCTGTGTGATCAAGCTGAGGAGGACAACAACCATCAATTTATAAATTGTCCTGTTTCAGCTGAATTATGGGGACACTTACTCTCTTCTGTGGGCCTTTCTTGGGTCATGCCAATTAATGTGTTGGACCTGTTACAGAGCTGGGAACTACAAGGCCTCTCCAAGCTGGCAAAAAATGTGTGGTTGACTATTCCTGCAGCAGTGATCAGTACTATCTGGGTGGAAAGAAATAGAAGAAATTTTCAAAACAAATCAAAGGATGTAGACTGTCTTATCTCTTGTACTGTGGGAAAATTAGTTTCTTGGACAGCAGCTGTGAAAGGTCTCCAGACTAAAGTGGTTGGAGCCCAGCTGAGGTCTAGAAATTTGTTTTAGCTGTAATTTAGTTTGGGGCTTTGTACGCTGTTGATTGCTCCTGTTCTGGGGCCCCTCTGTATTCTCTGTTTTTTTCAATAAAGTTACCTTCTTTCAAAAAAAAAAGACAATGATCCCGAGGTTAGATGATCCACTTCTAGTGGTTTCCAAATATTAATGTTCTCATTTTCTTTTGACAAGTTGCAAGATGAAACAAGTAGCATTTCAATCTTGTAAGTGCAATCTGAAACCTAATACCAATGCACATGAGATGTAAAACATGAATGAACAGTATGAAACCTACATACCTTGTAGCTTTGGAATGGGAGTCTGAGAACTCTCCCGTGGACGTTTATGAGGTAGACTAACATGATGATCCTTGGGTCCATTATCCATGAATGGTAGCAGATCCTACACCAAGACATAATACCAATTAAAGGGGCAATGTCTGCAAACTAAATATTTATTCCAAATCTACTTAGGTAAAAACAGGTTTGTGTAGCTGTCTGAAATTGAGMATCTGCATATGCTTTCATTTTTATACCATTTCAAAAGAAAAGGTATTACAAACTACTCTCTAGCAATTTGACAAAAGTATATTATGAATCTAAATGCCATGAGATACTAGGCATAACCAGACCTCTAATAAACGCTCAGGTTGAACCATTCCATTCCATAAGCGCATTTTTTGCCCAGTTATGGGGTCAATCACAAGAACTGCAGGAATAGAATTTAAGTTGTAGTAGGTGCAGACTTTCCTCCCTTCACTTGTATCATCATATACCTGTATTGATCAAGTAACAAAACACATAGATGATAAAAAACATTTAGAAAAAGTTAAGTAAAATAATCAATAAGCACAAGATATAAGAATGAATTTTTCCATGCCACTATCCTCTTGTGATTTTTTTTTGATAAATAACAGAGACTTTTATTAAAAGATAATAATAGAAAAGGTACAAAAGGAGGGGTAAAAATTCTTAACCCTCCCAAGAAAGCAATTCAAATTACAATGTTGCCCAGAAGAAATTAACTCTTCCCACCCCTTGCTTGGCCAATGAATCTGCCTAAGGTGTTGGCGCACCTCTTTATCCATTGAAACTTGACTTCCATATTTTGGATGAGATGTCTAACCTTCCTTTTTTCATTCAGAAACTTCCACAGACTAGAAGTATCCTTCATCAACCAATTTATAGCCAACTTAGAGTCACCTTCCACTATCAATTTTCTGATATTTAACTCTTGAGCTCTTTTTAACCTTCCCAAGACAGCCAATATTTCACCTCTAAGAGAGTCCCCCCATCCAATAGAACTAAAATACAATGCAATAATTCGACCTTCATCATCCCTAAAGGCTCCCCCTATACCCGACAGACCTGGATTTCCTTCACTACTACCATCAAAGTTTTATTTAGTGAAACCTGAAACTGGAGGGGACCAAATTGGGTGGGATACATTCTTTCTTGGAGCTGACCAAGCCACTTCTTTCCACTTCCTGATGTTTCTTTCTGAATAATTTTCAAAACTTTGCATAGTTTTAACCCAATGGATCACCCTTATAGAAATCAGTTCAATGATTACACCCTTATTTCTTTCTTTCCCATGAAAGGTCCGTTGATTCCTTTCCTCCAAACTGTCCAACATACAGCTGCTCTTACACACCTCCACAGAATTTTCCCTCTCTTCTTCAGCCCCCTAACAGTAGTAGAACGAAATAGGCTTTGTACATTTGGGAGAGGGATCCACCTGCCACCAAAAAGAAAGAAAAACCAACACCATATTTCTGAAACAAATGGGCAAGAAACCAATAAGTGATAGCAAGTCTCACCATTCTCCTCTTGTGATTTGTTCATGCAATGCTTGAAAGACTCATGTTCAGCAGAAAATGGTAAACTCAAAATATAATTAATTTGAAATTGAAAAACATCATAATTTTCGTTTAACATCTTCCCATAGTTTCTGGGAAAAAATAGAGAGTATGAAAATAAGATGCCAATAGGTAGAAAAATTAAAAAAAAAAAAAACTATACAAGGGTGCTTCAAACCCATGAAGGGACATTCACACGAGACACTAAAAAGGGAGCCAAAAAAACTAACACCATCAATAATATTAGAGAGTACATGTTATCAATTCAAGAAGAACATTTGAATAAAAGAAGAAAATAATGGTGACCAATTGCATATGATTGGTTCAAGTACAGAAGGTACATACTATAAATCAGCTCAATTGGAGGTTCATGAGAGTTAAAAGGGGCTAATCCACAGCACTTTAGGCCCTATTCGTTTGTCGGTATTTAGAAGGGGTATGGCCCACACATCAACCATTAGAATATGAATTACAAGTTTGGAAATATTACAATTTGTTTTAACAATGGACCCCACTAATTGATAGTAGATGGGACCCACTATAGATTTAGGTTTTGGTTTAACAGTGGGTATAGCCCACTGATCTGACCATTAGAATATGGGTTACAAATCTGGAATGTTACAATTTGTTTAAGCAGTGGGCCCCATTGATTGATAGTAGATGAGACCCACTATAGGGTTAAGTCTTGGTTTAACAATTCGTATGGCCCACTGATCCAATGCTGAGAATATGGGGGTTACAAATCAGAAGTGTTAAAGTCTGTTTAATCTATCAAAGAAAAGTTTGTTTTAGCAGTGGACCCCACCGGTTGGTAGTAGATAGGATACACTATAAGGCAAAATTTTGGGTTTAACAGTAGGTATGACCCATTGATCCTTTAATAGTAGGTCAGCCAAACAAACCAGGAGGATTCAAATTTGTGTTAACAGTGGGCCCCAATGATCAGACCACTGAATTCTGTTTTTTGACAGTGGATGGGATGGGACCCACCAAATCAGATTGATTGAAGTTTGTTTAATAATGGATATGGCCCACTAGTCATTTGGTTTTATCCTTAAAACAGGACGTTTAAACCTTATCTTAGCAGTGAGTCCCAAAGATCAATAAATTCTGCTTTTTACAGTGGATGGGACCCACCAAATCAGTGTGATTAAAATCTGTTGTGACAATGGGCATGGCCCACTAGTAGGAGCTTAGGGATTCATTTTGTCCTACTATCTTGTTTTAGTGGTGGATAAGACCCACCAAATATGAACTAGTCTAGGAATTCTTTATATATATTCAACCAGCCAAAAATTCTCAAATAAGATAGGATTATATATAAGGGTGGATAAGATCAACCTTCTTACGTGGCACGTAGCCAAAAGGGATTAGAAGCTCTTAGAATCCTAATAAAACTTTTAGAGAGAAGAAAGTAAAAAAAGCATGTATGTATGCCTTAAAACAAGACAAGAGTTCCCATGCCCTTTGACTCTTTGAGAGTATTATAAAGATCAGAACAGGGAAAGAAAGAAAAATGCCCAAGAATAAGATGTGTGCACAGGATAGAAGGGGAGAGAAAAAAAGGAGTCAGAATAACCTCTCTTTTCATACGTGGGATTCATTATTAACTTCTTTCAATAACCACCAAATTTGAAATTTAAACAATTTCATATTCAGATTAGGCAAGTCAGCTGAGCTGAACCCAGCAGTCAAGTCTTGCTTCCCTTTTTTATTATTATATATTATTTAAGATGGGGAAGCCCGAAAAGCTCACAAGACTCCCTAACATTTTAAATATTAAACACTGACATTACAAGGTTCTCATGAACTTGCAATCAATAGATTGTAAGCTCCGGGCTGGACAGGGTTAAGTACCTTTCGCACCCAATGTTAATCTGTACTGTCTTAAAATCCATGGACAGGGTAATTGTTCATAGTCCTTTGGCTACAGATGAGGCACTTGAGCTACAGTTTATTGGGTCAACCAATTCCTCTGTTGAAGTTTGGATATTTTCAAACTCAAATGTTAAAGTTGTAAATAATATAATTCATTACCAGCCCAACGTGAAGTGATATAAATATCTTTGGAATGGTTCAAGGGATAAGAGTACAATAATGATTAGCATTTCACAGAATTCTTTTATCAATAACAATAAAACTTTATTAATATGAATGAACCCAATATGCACAAGTACAAAATTTATTATTATAGGTTTTCTTTTAAATCCCTTACAACTGTGCCCAAAATATTTGCTCCCTCTCAGCCCCTTGTTTTGCAAAAACATCTACCAAGGTATTGGCTTCCCATAGAGTCCAAAGAACCCTCACCTCCATATCACTTGTCAAACACCTAAACTTTTTCACTCCACTGCTGTAGCTCCACAAAGCAGCCTCTTTCTTTTGCAAACACTCTACCACCAATTTGGATTCCCCTTCAATAATCAACCTATCCATGTTCATTTCCTTTGCTCTCTGCACTTCCCCCATTACAGCTGCAATTTCAGCCACTAATGATTCTCCTACCCCAATCGAGCCTGAGAACAATAGCAACAATGTTGCCTTCCTCATTTCTAAAAGCTCCACCCAATCCAGAAATCCCCCGGCTACCCCTACTGCTCCCATCACAGTTAAGCTTTAAGAATCCTCTGCCTGGCAGGCATCGAACTCTTGCATACCATATTCTCTTTAGACGAGGTGCTTCCCTCTTCCCTCCATTTTCTGATAATATCATCTAGTTAGAAAGATTTGAAAATCTGCAATATCTTAACCTGGTGGGCCACCCTTCTTGTAAATACACTGAATTAGTGCCTCCTAACTTCTTGCTTTTTCATTGAAGATTCATGTATTTCTTTCTTCCTATACTGTCCATATGACTGCAGCCCTAGTGATTCTCTACAAGATTCTTCCTCTCTTTTTGGACCAAATAAAAGTAGTGGAGAAAATAAACCAGAGACACTAGTAGGACCACCTGCACCCAAAATGAGAAAGAAACAAATCCCAAATACAAGTAATAAAAGTGCAGGAGATTAGTAATGGAAGTGCAGCCTCAATTTTTTACCTCTACACCTTAATCTCGATGACTGGCATTCTTTTTTTCCATGTCTATCAGCTATGGTAGCATGAGAAGTTGGGAAACCATTAGTGATTGAAGAAGTGAAGGTGGCACATCCATAGAAAAATGAGTTCCGTTTAATTGAAGATCCTCTACACCTCCTTCTGTCATATTGATTTTTACTTCTGAGAAGCTAAGGTAACTAACTACTTTCAAATAGTACCTACCAAAAACAATCTACTTTCAAACAGTATACTCATTTCTTCTTAACAATCTATGTTATGGTAACCTTTCCTGCTGATGCTTCATTGGTTCTTTCACTTCTTTGATCAAATTGAAATGAGTCTATGGTTGTGTTTTTTTTCTAAGGGAATGTACATTTTTTTTCTAAGTAAGACTAAATCTGATAGAATTACTTATCTATGGTTGTGCTTGATGATAAAATGTGATAGGTTATAAAGGGTAAATGTTTCTATTTTGGTTTACAGCTTATTAATTCGCTTATTCTTGTGGGTGGTATAACATGGTTGAGAGGGTGGTAGAGGGTGTAATGGATCTTGCACAGGATCATGCCCTCCCTGTGTTCATCAGGGAATGCAAAGAATGTTCTAAATGCAAGACAGAGGAGAGCAACAGTCCCTATTCTTCCCTAGTTCTCATCAAAAAGGATGGTACATGGTGTTTTTGTGTTGATTATAGAGTCATCAATAGATGAATTATTTGATGAATTAAAACATGCAGCCTACTTTTCCAAGTTGGACCTGCAATCCAGTTACCACCAAATCCGGGTCTACCCGGAGGACAACCACAAAACGGTCTTTCGACCCATGACAACCATTACGAATTTGTGGTCATGCAATTTGGGCTGACTAATGCACCTTCC